CTGCCCTCCCCCACTGAGTGAGCCCTCTGAGCCGGTCCCTGGGGCGGTGTCAGTGTGGAAGGTAGGCCTTTTTCCCTGTCCATGGGATGTTATTGATGAGGTGAGGTAATGGATCTCCCCGCTGTGCTCACAGGGACACTGAGGATAAATCAGACAGTGGGTAAGACCCAACCAGCCATTCCACCTTTCTCCAGACTCAACTGCCATTTCATTAGTTTTATTTATGGGGGTTCTGCACTCTTCTGAACCCCTCCCCTTTCAGTCCTCCCACTGAAAATACCGCTATTCTTCTTCTTCCTCCCTTATATAGTGCTATGGCAACCCATATACACCCCAGTTCTTTCCTCCCTTTTTTTCCCGGTGGAAATCCCAGTCTTCTCCCTCCCACACATCTTCCCAGAAACTATTCCTTGTCAAAGCCTGGTTTCTGTGGAAGTGAGGAGGTAAGCAGCCTGTGAGTCTAATTCCTGCTATCATGCAACAGACAAAAAGAGTGGATAGATAGTGATGTGCTCTGAAGTGGTGGAGGACTCAGCACTGGCTGAGCTTTTAACATTAGACGCAGCATTGCAAGACCAACCAGCTCAGCACTTCTAGCCGAGCTGTATTTGAGTTGGCTGACAAGAGATATTCACCTCTGGGCTTATGGCTCAACCACTTAGTGCGAAAACTACAGTCAAAACCGCCTTTGTCCTTGAAGGAAGAGAAAGGAATTCCTTATGTGTCCTTGCTGGAAAGGACAGCTCTTATCTTCACCGCACGATCGAATGTCAATTTATTCTGTCAGAGGTGGTGTCCAACAGGCAGGCGTGCTCCATTCTGCTTGGAAAAGGTCAACAAGCTATCATCTCACCTCCACATCCACGCTAGTAGAATACCACTTTCATTCCCTTCTGCACTTCCATCGCTGAGTCCTTCTCACCTGCCGAGCCTTATCTCACAACTCAGCCCCATATGCTGAGGAAAGTCCACCATAACCTGATTTCATCTGTAAAAGGCATCAATGTAATCACCGCTGGTGCCGACTGTAGACGTCGTGGCACAAGATCAGAGGGCAAATATCAAGGCTGAGTAGCGTTTTAATATTTCTGAAAAGCCTCACTATACTGCCAAAATTTGATCCGTGTGTGAATGTTGGCACAAATGCATAATATACTATGCTGTATCAGGTCTCTGTATCTAATTTATTAAAAGTACCAAAACCTGGATTAGACATGAAAGGCAGTGAATCATACTCTGCTCACATGCTTTTTCCATTAGAAAGAGACAGGAATGGAAGGGGGCTGTTCGTTTCATGGTGAACATTGATGTCATGACAGTCATGCTGGAGCATGTCCATACAAGGTCCACTCTAGTTTACTCCACATGAATCCATGCAACCAAACAGATGGTTGACTGAGCTAAGCTCCTGCGATGCTGTGGTACTGCCAGTTTCGTTACAGGGGTTCACTTGGACGCGGGACAAGTGTGAATATGTCTTTCGCACCCGTGGCAGCCAGTCAGAGCGAGGAAATCTGACCACATGAAAACAGAGAACACCTGACATCATGACATGACGCTCGATGTTGTTGATTGATACCGAAGCACATGCAAAAGTACGAGACACGTTAAATGATTATTTTTGTGCAATTAGCAATAAAATGGTCTAACGGACAAAAAATTATAAAGCAACTACTGCAAATGGTGTGTGGGTTAAAACAACGATTTCTGCCATGCCCATATTTAAGCTTAATTCAAATCAATAACAGTTATAAAATACCATTAAAACACATTGATATATGATGTAACAGAACATTATCATATTTTCGCATGTGGGTGAGCTTGGAAAGACTCGTGGTGTCACAACAGTAAAAATTTGTCCACATATGATCTTGATAAAAGGAAGGAAAGGAAAATATGAGAGAAAAGTGTGTGCTGGCAGTCGGCCAGTGTGGACAGACTCAGGAAGTTAAGCGGGAATTCCAACAATGCAGGCAGTCGTTAGACTCTTCCCTGCAATGGTGCCATTTCTGCTCTCAGTGCTGTCTTTGTTGTGGAGGCGAGGAGGCAGCTCGGTGAAGTCCTGTGGCTGTGAATGAGATTCAGCTGTGACTTGCGCACCGTAAACCGAGATTGATTTGCTAATGATGCGAGGAAAATAGCTTCATGATTAAGCAGGTAGAAAAACAGGCTCCTTTCCCCGCGCTCTATCTGCCCTCTGTCTCTGATATCTACTAGAAAGATCATTTTCCCATGCTGTTTGACTTGAGCCCAGGCATGACAATAATAAATGCTGGCAATGGCAAAATGAATTATGTCTCTGCTAGAAATGTACATCATAGCCAAAGGAAGAACCTGGCATGTAATTATACCAGGGTTATAAATAGCAACATGTTCCAAGCAGTATCCATCATCTTCATCTGAAAATCACATTATACGTAGGACACATGATCTCAATTAGAGATATTTCATGTTTATTAAAATATGCAAAGATTGTATGTTTCTAATTTAATCATACTTGAATCCAATTAATCGAAGTCTAAGTGAACATGCCTTTAGATCTGCCACTGAAGACAATGAAAAACTAAGAATGGCAGTGCGCAATTGTGTCTCTAATCAGCCGTAGTTTAGGTAGATGGGCCCAGCTACAGAGTATTTGAATTTGTAATCAAAGCTGATCATTCACAAAGGGGGAGACTGCGTTAATCTCATCGACTCCAGACAGCAGCTCATATTTTAAGAGTGCTGTTTTGATGAGGATTTTCCCTCCAGCCTCCTCTCTGTTGCAAAGACTCGTCTGTTGTTCATCTTTTATTTCAGAGCTGTAATGACTTTCTGCAGTTCATCTATCAACTGACAGCCTTTGAAATCTGTGAAGTCTGTGTAGCTGATGCACTCGCTCTCAGTGGTGTGTTTCATGTGGGCTCTGTCTATTGAAACAGTCCTCTCCAGTTCTTTTTAGTATCATATAGTAGAGACACCTCTGGTGCACCCCCCCTGCAAATATATTCTTGCAATTTCTGAAAGCGCCCCTTCTTCAGATATTGAATATTCACTGGTGGTGAGATTTTGAGATCTCTCCCAAAGTTGATTTGTCCATTTGTGCTTTTATCTGTGAAGCTCTGTTTAACCCTAGAGGGGGTTCTGGCTGCAGATGAAACACAGCTGTTGACATCAAAACTGGCAAGTGAGAAACATTTGTGCTTTATCAGTGAGCTGACAAATTGGGCATTGCAGAGAGAGGGGGGTAGATTATGCCAACAGATGCCTGGGTCCAGAAAACAGCTGAAATAAACAGTCTTCTTTCTTGCTCAGTGAATACATGGTGGTCACAGTGACGGTTAGAGGGGGTCTTCCAAACCACACAGCAGGAAAAAAAACATGACAGAAGAAAAACAATCCTGTCTGACATCATCGGAAAGGCTGCTGCTAAAACTGAAGTAAGGATTTAGCCTGTCTTAAGTGTGCCAGATAGTTATATGGCAAAAGTCAGGTTGCCAGCACCTTGTCCAAGGGAATGGCTTACAGTAATATATAACCATAATTATACAACATAAAATGAACCGAAACTAATTACCCTAGTCTGTCAAACGCAGGATGATGTAACAGCAGGTTAATGAGCTCAACTGACTTAAATACTCTTCTCTGTGTGTGAAATAGCTGCAGTATGGGCGGTGGTCTTGGAAGGCGGTGTGGCCATTTAAAGCATGATGAGAAGTTTAAGACCATCTAGAGGCTGGTGACTTCAACACAGTCATCAACTATGAACACAGCATGGGATTTTGTGATCTGCCAAATACTATCCTTCAGTGTTAAGTCACTGTATTCACAGCTTGTACTTCTCCATGGGCATCAAGCAGCACAGATGTAGGCTTCCCAGAGGGTCAGTGCTTCAGATGACCTCTTCTGGAACCTGAGTTCAGACTGGAGCGAGGGAGGGAAGGAGAAAGAGAAAACACAGATGGGTTGATCCTCGCAGCTGCAGAGTGAGGGACAATAAATGTTGTTAATAATACAGTATGTAAACGTGTGAAAACAATATGGAGGAACAGCAGGGATTTAGAGATTCAGCTGATTGTAACACTAAACACTAAGTAT